GCTTTACACTTTCGCTCCTCCCTACAGAGGTAAACTAGGGAGGGAAGCCACTCAGGCATATTCTATCACCACTTGGTGCCCTTGGCACAGGATGAACCAAAGTAGAAACATAGAGATGATGTGAGAAGGGGCATTGTCTGGCAGTTTTTCATGATTCCCCATGAAGAAGGTTTTAAGAGTATAGATTTCAAAAGAAAGCAGGGCAAATCTAGTTTTTTCTGAGGGGCACTGATTCTATCCTTGGAGCTCTGCCAGCTCAGTTGGTTATTCCCCCAGGAGACTGCGGGTGATAGAGGCTCAATAACAGGTATTTACTGTCCTGAATTGGTGCCTATGCCCTGTCAGCTGTTAACTATTGGAGATTTCCTCCAACCAAAGTAGAGTTAAGAGATGCTGTGAGTGGCAAACAGGTAATAGGCAGTGAGATGTGAAATGTCTCTCTTCCATTCTACTGACATTGGCAAAACAGCCTTTGTTTATAAGGGGTTAAGTAGGACAAGCAGAGACTTTGGAAGAAAGTCAGTTTTCACCTTAGTGGGTTCCAAACCCCAAATTTTAGTGCTATTTTCTTGTTACTTATTAGATGATCACAAGGTTAAATCCCAAGACTTAGGAAAGTATATCCATCTACCCAGCTATCCTTCCATGCCAGTATTCTCTCCATCCATCTTTCCAGTAGTTATGAAACACGTAACATGTGCTAGGCACTGTGCTGGATTCTGGGCTGACATTACTGTAATCTAAACAAGGCAGGAGTTTAGCCTGTTAAGGGAAACTATCAAGTAGAGTCAGACCCCATTTTGACAGTGGTTCAGTGTAGACCCAGGGAGCTGAGGGGAAGGATGCCTGCTTACGTCAACTAGGGGGGGTAGTAAGATCTATGTCTCATCAGAGAGGCCATAGCATTCTTAGTCTGGCTTTATCTCCACTGCTACAAAAATAGAGTATACTTTATTTTTCATCAGACTTTTAAGCATGTCCTCTCTTCCCCTGCTTTCTGTTTCATCTTCTATTAGAAATGAAGAACCTGGAATAAAGAGCATTAAGGTAGGTCAGAATAGTTCTGGTGGGGCTGTCATCCCATACTCCAGCAAACTTATCTCAAGCTTCAGGTCACTCATGCTTTGATACTTTTTAAAAGAGCATGATACATTCAAATTAAAACCACAATGAGATGTCATTACGCACTTATCAGCATGGCTCAGATAGAACATAGTAACAGCACCAAATGCTGGCAAGGAAGTGAATAAGCCGGCTCCCACATGCATTGCTGGTGGGAAAGGTCAATGGTACAGCCATGCTGAAAAACTGTTTTGTCATTTATTATAGAACTAAACAGGCAATTACCTTGCAACCCAGCAAGTGTGATCTTGGGCATTTATCCCAGAGAAGTGAAAACTTATTTTTACAAAAAATCTACACATGTATGTTGGCATAAGTTTTATTTGTAATAGCTCCAAATTGGAAACAGCCTAGATAGCCTCCAGTAGGTATATGGCTAACAAGCTGTGGTATATCCATGTCATGGAAAATTACTCAGCCATAAAAAGGAGCAAACCATCAATACCCACAGCAACTTGGATGAATCTGCAGGAAATTATGCTGAGTCAAAAAAGCCAATCTTGGAAATGGAGAAGAGGTTATTGGTTGTCAGGATTAGGGATGGGGGGATCAGAGCAATGGGAAAGAGGTAAATGTGGTATAAAATGACAACACGAGGGATCCTTGTGGTGATGGAGCTGTTCTGCATTTTTACTGTGGTAGATACCAAACCTATGCATGCGTTAAAATTGTATAGAACTAAACACACACACATAAATTAATGCAAGTGATTCTAGGGAAATCTGAAAAAGTTTGGTGCATAGCAACAACATCAATATCCTGGATGTGATATTTATGGTTTTAAAACGTGTCATAGGAAGACACTGGGTAAAGTGTACAAGGGATCTCTTTTGTACGTATTTGTGAATACAACTATCTCAATAAAAATCTTAGAGAAAGAACATTCTATAAAAGTTGTATGCAATTGGAGTCTAAATTTATAAATCAGAAACATCACAGTCTAATATTAAATTAAGGCCATATTTTACTTATATACTTTATGTGATCAATGTGATTCTTTGTGTCTTTTTTCAAGTAACAAGTAGTTCCCAATCATATTCATGATTTGAACCTTGTAATTTAAATGAACTGGGCTATTTTGGTGTTGAAGTGGGTTTTAAAACTTGAGTTTGACATAGAGCATGTGTGTGACCAAATCTCGTGGATCTGCTCTTACTACCTGAGAACTTGGAAAAAAAATCTACAAGCCTTTCTAGTGATGAGTCAGAAGTGTTGTTTTGGAATAAAATGCAACACATTTTATTTTTTTATTTTTGAAAAGTTAAAAAAAGTTCTGGCCTCGTTGATGTCAGAGGCTTCATACTGATAGGTAAGCATTTTTAAGAGAGGAAAAAATGTTGATAAATCAGCACATCTGGAGTAGAGATGGATAGGACAGGGCTCTCCTTAGGCCTTTGCCTGTGAAACTGGTCTTGGAAATGCTTAGAAAAAGCTCTTCTGCTGCCCAGAGAAGCAGGCCATCCATGCTGCAGCTCACTCTGCTGGGCCACGCCACCCTTTTATCCTAGATCCCTCTTCATAGTGTTTCTGATCTAGGTGTACACATGGGAGGGATAGGGTTTGGGCAGCTGTGCCCTATGGGCTACATCTGTAATGGGGACTGCCCTGCCGTGATGCCAGATTGCATCCTGGATTGCAAGACTTAGGAGGCTGATTCTGCTCTAGCAGAATTTTATTTACTTATTTGTTTGTCTTTTGTTTATTTATTTTGAGATGGAGTTTCACTCTTGTCTGCCAGGCTGAGTGCAATGGCGCTATCTTGGCTCACTGTAACCTCCGCCTCCTGGGTTCAAGTGATTCTCCTCTTGTGGGATTTTAAGGATGTTTTGTGGATAGGATTCATTCCAATGGCATTTTAATAGACAAAGTATGAAAATCAACATTTTAGTAGAGTTCCAATCTATACAACAGTTTTGTGTAGGTGATTCTTTTTGCATTATTCATGTCTTTTCCTTTTCATTGCCTGTGTACCATGAATGTATATAGCAGAGTTCCTTGTTCTGGGGGAGAATCAGTGGTGATATTAAGGTGGGTAGAGAACATGAGGCTCATGTGAGAGTGAGTTTTGTGATGTCTTAGAACAGTATTAAGTGTTGTCCGCCTGGACTGTTTGACTGTAGGGGGATGAATATGGGACAAATTTGTCTGCCTCAAAGTGGCTTTGGAGACCACTGTTAAATTCATCATAGAGTCTCTCAAGTAAATGGGGGTTACACAGCACTATCAAGTATTTCCTGATGGTTCTTTCAGCGTTTTCCAAGTTGAAGCAGCTTCAGTCTGTGGTAAGTTCCCAAATGAATCCCAGCAAACAGGCTTTTTCCAAAGGATCAAATAGCACTTAATAAAAACATAATGGTATCCGTATATGTAGCCACACATGCACGAAAAAGAATTCCATTGGTAAATGCTATAGGTCATGTTGGAAAAGAACCTCCTTTTTTTCATTTGTTAAAACTACCTCTTAAAATATTCTTTGGCGATGTTTTCCTTGTAATTGGACTCTGCCCAGACGTGAGTGTTTGAAGCAAATTTGTGTGGCTGTTTTCTGTGGGTCGGATGGAAAAATAGTAAAAACGAGCTTCACATTTCTCTGGTTTTCTTGGAACTTACAAATGGCTGACCTAGTCTCTTATTTAAAATGTTCTTTCTTGAGCGTAAGAGTATAGGTTTGGAAAAGGATAGTAGGTAGGCAGTATTTTGGAAGAGTTAGCATCTAAGCATGGGATTTACAATTTATACTCCACATCTGTCTTGCCCTGAAAAAAGTCTTTGTTTCCACAGGAAGACCTAAATTCAGGCACTTTCCACTTTTCAATTTGGTGTGTTCCTGAGATCCATGTTTTAAAATGCATGCCTGTGAGACATCGTATTTCCCTATGGAGATAATAACCGTATTTGAGAGTCCTTCCTGGGTATACACATGTGAAGGAGATGCTGTTATTATCCCAGTTTTATATATGAAGAAACGAATCCACAGAGAGATGAAGTCATTTGCCTAAGATCACACAGGTAGTTATGAGACACAAGCATTTGAATTTAGGCAGTTGGACTTCAAAGCTTGAATCATTAAACCACAGTGGTATCCTGTGTCTCAAAGTTAAAACACTGTGGTTTCTAAATAAGGATTTCCCAATCAGATCTGACCAAGATTATATCATAAAGCAAAGACATGTTAATTCATCTACTTTTTCAATGTGATAACTATAAATTACTTGATTAGATAAAAATCTGTGATTCTCCTAAAATGGGAATAAACGTATCAGTCAGGAAGACTATGCAAAGTCCTCAATTAGCTCAAAAAGATGCAATTTTTCTGTGACATAAATTTGACTGTAATCAATATGTAAAAAATCAAAGATGTAACAAAAAACACATATTTAAAGTCTCTGGCTTAGACTTTGGAAAGCCTTTTGTGGCTTGGATGACCCAGTTTTCTTAAGAAGTCTCCCTAGAAATGTGCACTAATACTTCCTCTCACCTTCACTTCTGAAGGATGGTGTATGCAGGATGTGGTGTTCCAGTTGGCAGTCTTCCAGCTATCTTCTGGCTTCCATTGTGTCTGTTGAAAAGTCAATCTAATATCTTATTGTACAACCCAGGGGTCTGGGTGGCTTTGGTTGAAGGCAGGAGAGTGGTGACTTGCTTCTGGGTGGAGCTGATGGAACTCTGAGGGTTACTGTGGAAATTTCCTCTGAATATTGTTTCTCTGTGTTGTACCAGATTCCCAGGGCAGTGAGAATAGTTTCTTTATTGGGCAATTAAACACGATCCTTTTCTGTGTAGAACCTTCAATAGCAATTGCATGAACTCACGTCTCTTTGTTTTCTTCCTTCCCCTCTCCCTCCCCATCTCTCTGGATGGGCCCACCCTGTCTGCAGCACAGACCCTGGATTCTCATGCTCTATGGGATGTGGGCCTGCTGGTGTGTGCTGGGGACCCCTGGCGTGGCCATGGTTTTGCTCCACACCACCATCTCTTTCTGCGTGGCCCAGTTCCGGTCTCAGCTCCTGTCATGGCTCTGTTCTCTCCTCCTGCTCTCCACACTGAGGCTGCAGGGTGTGGAGGAAGTTAAGGTAAGTGTCTTCCCATTGCCATTGGGAATCCAGAGAAGGCTCCTTTGGCTTTGCCTTAATCCCAGTAGACACCTTAGTTTTCAGACCAGAGATGATTGTAGAACCGTGATGGGGCTCCCCATAGTGGCCGTATGGGGTTGCTACATGTGAGCCCTAGTGGTGCATTCTGCAATCCTTTCCTTTCTGGCTGTATCTTAGCCCTGTGAGATTGCCCAGGGCTAACCCTGTAACATCTCTCCCAGTTTGGGTGGGCATGTGGAGTGCCAGATGTCACAGGACCAGAGGGTTAGGAACAAAGAGAGAAGACATAAACAGATGATTTACTAAACAATCATCTGGAGAGTACTGTACAATATATAGGGATTATGCACATCCCTCAACTCATCTGATGCCTACCTGGCCCTGTGGTGGTAAGTCAGGCGTTTTTCTTCTTCCTAGTTGAGGGAACAGATTGATTAATTGAAATGGAGTCTCTGTCGTCCAGGCTGGAGTGCAGTGGCGTGATCTTGACTTACTGCAGCCTCTACCTCCTGGTTCAAGCGATTCTCCTGCCTCGGCCTCCCAAGTACCTGGGATTACAGGTACCTGCCACCACACGTGGCTAATTTTTGCATTTTTAGTAGAGACAGGGTTTCACCATGTTGGCAGGGCTGGTCTCGAACTCCTGGCTTCATGTGATCCACCCGCCTCAGCCTCCCAAAGTGCTAGGGCTGCAGGTGTGAGCCACGGTGTCTGGCCAGGAACTGATTTAATATCTACTCATGTGCCCCAGTGGAAGCTCTTACAATTTAGATAAGTGAAAACAGTCTTTAGCCCCAAAGGGCACAGACCACAGTTTCATTTTTGTAAACCAGGGGCATTTTGACAGACTCAATCACCTGTTAGTTGTTGGTGCGAATAGAGGAGAACATTGGGCTCAAAACACCCTTCTTTATGGCTTTTGTTTGCATTAGTAAATTCTTCTTTTATAGGCATTTACCTTTTAGCTTCATGTTTCTTTTCTTAGTCACAATAATAGTGCATTTTAATTTCGTAAGTGTGCATCAGACTTGGCCCAGAGGATGTTGGATGGCAGAGAGACTGCCTTCCGAGTTAAGGAGTTTGCTTTGCTTTGCTGAGCGCATAGCACCTATCCGCAAGTTCTTCCTGCACTGCATTTTCTGATTTCTGTCGTTCTCTGATCATCTCCTGGGCAGTGGGCAGCATCCCCTGGACAGCTCCAGACTATCTGGTTCTGTGTGGAGTGACCTAGCCCTGCTTGTGCAAATGAAGCTTAGGCCCCTCAGGCTGTCTCAGGCCCACCCAGGCTGTGTGGGCTTCCTTCTCTCACTTGTCTGTTGAATACACCCTTTACAAGTTCTAGTTGGAGAACAGGGCTTGTCATCAAAGACAGTTGCCAAGGAAGCCATCAGATCTGTGGCTGCAGGGGAGAAAAGGGAGACTCTGTGGGGAACTCACAAGCATCCAGAAGTGGGAGCTTTCCCTTAAGGTAGAAATACATGGCAAGAAGAACACAAGTCCAGGGCCCCAGCTCCAGGGTCTGGTCCTGGGCACTTGGCTTCACAGCCCTTCAGCTTCGGCATCAGTCAACTTTGAGAACAGCCAGCATGAAAGATGTGCAACTTGGAAAACTTGGGGATCATGGCCCAGGGCAGAACCATTGATGTTTCCCACCTTTATTGACCTTTTTCTCCCTAGGCTGGTTCCCAAACACTGCCCTCATGGCAGGAACTGTTTTCTGAGTCAGGCCAATCTGCTTACCTTCCTCCTTTACACATTTACATATGTTTACCCTGTCTCTTGGAACCAACCGCCCTATCATCCCTGTCCACCTGATTCTCTTTCGAAGTATAGCTTAGAACCTCCATCTCTAAGGGTAAGGAATCAAAGAGAGCTACAGAAAAACAGATCAGTTAGTGTCACATACTGTTCTGAGAGCTGCTGGCTCTTACAAATGGGGACACAATAAAACAGTAGCATGTAAGTGACCAGGAGTCACATGGAGATTTGGGGACAATGCACACACCTATCCCTTTCTCTAACCCCCAGGATCTCCAGAGGCACATTCAAAATCTTGGGAAGTGTTGGATATTCTTTCTTCCATCACTGTGGAACTGGAACTCCTGTGGTATCTTTATTTTTGTTCATTCATTCACTCACTCGCTCACTCATTCATTGATCCAGGTGACTGCACTTAGCGTTCATGTGCCCTGGATCAGCACAGTGATGGGAAGGAACATGATGGGAAAGGTTAGCTGGATAACCTGGTTTTTAGTTTTTTCTATTTCCCATCTCTTCCTACTCTCCAGACTGGAGTAGACATTTAACCTCTGAGTCTCTCATCGTTTGGAAAATGGAATAACAAATGCTCTTTCTTCCTCAGGGGATTGTTCTGAGAGTCAAACAAGATCATCACTTTTGTAATTTTGTGAAAATGGCAGCATTTTGAAAGCTCTAGTATTTTTTGCTGTTTTTAATCTACCTTAATTTTTTTTGTTCTCACTAATGATGTGGGGCTAATACTTTAAGCACATATGTCAGAATCTGGATTTAGGAGAGTATATCAGATAATCACTCAATTTTGACAAAGGATATGTTCCAGAATGATTAACTAGGCAACCATTTAAGCAAGTGCGCTTAAAAATGGACTTACAGTAAAAATAAAAACAAATTCATACCCAACTTTTTGGGGGCCTGGCAAGTGTACAAACAATCTAATTGTGCTAATCATTTCTTTGGGGACAATTAGCATCAGTTATGGATGTTGGAGATGAACAAATATTCATTTGTTCTGCAAATTTTACAGTGATTTGAAAAACACTGAGGAAGGAGATTGTATGATTAGAAACTAGCTGGGTTTCCATGCTTTTGCACATGTGTTTCTCTTGATAAGATTATCCTCTTTCCCCTTGGTGGCTGCTAACGTATAAGAAGTAGAAACTTTGTTCAGTGGTTGGTTTTTCTGTGTACCGCCTTAAAAGACCCTGATGAATCAAATTAATTACTTTCTCCGTTGACCCAAGCTCTATTTCTTGTATATATTTCCATAAATAGTTTTCCTCACTAAATGTATTTTTAGAAAACATGGAAAATACAGAAAAGTATAGAAATTAGAAAATGCTTCATGATTTTGCTCCCCAATATTAACATTTTGTTGTATTTCCTTCTTTTGTTCCATGCATATTTCTGCGCAGGTTTGTTATTTCCTGTTTCATGCTGTATTGTAATTGCATTGGAAACACCTATGTCCTATATGAGAATTTAAACATATTGAGGGCAGGGACTGGTTCTTAAAAATATTTGTCTGTATAGCTTATTTGGCAAATGCTGCTCAACTAAATATACAGCCAGACTGATAACAAAAGAGCAAAAAAAAAAAAAGTTGAAGACAGAAATCCCAGGGGATATTTTAAGCCCCTCTTTATCATCTGAATTGTTGAAGAAGAAGTCAAAGTATCCACTGGATATAGCTAATCTGCACCTTATTTATGCCCTGGATGTATCTGATTGATGCATATCTGGGAAAACCTTCCTTATGTTGTGTCAGTCCTAATGCTGAGTTTATAGTAGAGACGTTCTTTTTCCTACTGCTCGTGAACTGCTTGCTTTGATTACCAGAGATTTACCTGGTGTTCATTGGGTCTCGACTCCCTCTTGTGGCACAGCTGCTGCTCATTAACTTGTTTGGATTGCCAATGAGATTTATCTGGTGTTCATTGGTTCTTGACCCCCCTCTTATGGCACAAATGCTGCTCATTAACTTGATTTGATTGCCAATGAAATTTACCTGGTGTTCATTGGTGCTTGACTCCCTCTTATGACACAAATGCGGCTCATTAATTTCATTGGATTGCCAATGAGATTGACCTGGTGTTCATTGGTTCTTGACTCCCTCTTATGGGACAGCTGCTCTACCTGAGGAAGAGGTCTCCTTCCCAGAGCCCCCTGGGATTCTCAGATGAAGGAGGTCCTGCTGGCCAGCGCCTGCGGTGGGACTGGACGATGTCCCTTCTGACCACTCAAAGGTTGTTCTCTCCTTTTGGTTTTGTAGAGAAGGTGGTACAAGACAGAAAACGAGTACTACCTGCTGCACTTCACGCTGACAGTTCGCTGCCTCTACTACACCAGTTTCAGCCTGGAGCTCTGCTGGCGGCAGCTGCCCACTGCATGTACCTCCTACTCCTTTCCCTGGATGCTGGCCTATGTCTTTTATTATCCAGTCTTCCACAACGGGCCTATCCTCAGCTTCCCGGAGTTCATCACACAGGTAGAGCCCGCTGCGGGACGGGATTGGGATTCTGTAAGTTAAGGCTTTGTTGTTGTTGCTCTGGTCTTCTCTGACTCTTGAGTCTTTTTCTTCAGAGGTGCCCATAAATTTACAACACACGCTCTTAGTTCTTATGAGGTTTACACATTAGATGAAATACATATGAGAAATGAGCCTTTAAGGTAAAGTTCGACCCATCAGGTATGTTAGCTCTAGGGGCTCCCACCTTGATTTTCAGTTAACTCTGGCAACCAGGATTAATGACCGGGGTTCAGCAGAGTTTGGGAGGGGGTATCCACTGTGGTGAAGTCCCAGGGAAGGAAAAAAAAAATTGATTATGATGCTATTACTTGAAGGAGCAGAAAAGGAAACCGTCTAAGTGGGTGCTTGGCAAATATGTTTTCTTTTATATTCACAAACGGCTTAAGAAATAGTCCTCCTGTAGCTGGGTGACGCTTAGGGTACCTAGACGTGAACACAGAGTGGAGTAGAAGTAAGTTAGAAGGCAATGGTGTGTGTTTGGGTCAGGATGCCTCTCTGTGCCCAGGCCCCTGCCTGCCTTCCCCGGACACCATCCTTGTCTGAAATGCCATGTTAAGCTACCTTTGTTATTCTCCCTCCTTTACTCCACCCCCCACCCCCCACTGCTTAGAACTTTTTTTTTCTGCCTCCTCTACTCACATCTAATTTCGTGGAACATAATTGCTAAGTTAATTCACCTAAGGGATTAGTAATTAGCAATGCTTAAAACTCTTTATCAAGGGTTATTCTACCCCCACCACCAAAACAAAACAATCCTCATAGAGGACAGAATAACATGTACATGCACAGACACATACAACACGTACCCACACGTACACACCCCTAGAAGTGCAGGGCAAGCAGCAGTGTTGCACATTTCTGGGGGGCAACATGAAAGATGCTCCGTGAAAAAGGAGGGCTCTTAGAAGTCTTATTTTGTCCTCAGAGTTCCACTAAATTATGCACCCTGTTCAAAAATATATTTTTGCATTATAACAATAACAGTGTTCTAAAATTGCCAGTGAAACTATGTAACTTTTTGTATCTCTCGAAATCTTTAAGTGAAACTGATATTCTAGGCAGATATGTTTAGTCTATGGCTTCTCATACCTTGGTTTGGGGTGGTTCTTTTGTCATGAAGGAATTTAAAATCTACATTTAAAATTGTGTTGAAAATTATGCATAAAAGAGGTGGTTTAGTGATGGCAGCCGATCTTGTAACTCAATGATTTGCAAAGCGTGGTTCCTGGAACAGCAGCATCAGTATCACCAGATAACTTGTTAGAAAAACCAATTCTCAGGCCCTCTCCAACCACCCGAATCAGAATCTTTAGGGACAGAGCCCAGGAAGGCGCTTTAACAGGCCCTCCAGGAGGGGGGCAGAAGTGACAGTGGGCACAGTAATCTCCTTACTTTTGTGAACTTTTGGATTAACCTCAATTTGCCAACCAATAACTTTTGGACCAAGCATCCACACACAGACACCCCTCTCCTGAGGATGGCTGGTAATTTTCAGAGAAACATAAACTAAATCCATTAGGTAGACATAGATTATTTTCCTAACTTCCTCTTACACATAAGATGCTTTGCCCTGTATGCTCTGTACTTTGTTACTATGAAAAATAATTGTTCCTCTTATTTCTCATCATTTTCCTGTTTTTTTTGAGAGAGTCTCACTCTGTCACCCAGGCTGGAGTGCAGTGGTGCAATCTGGGCTCACTGCAACCTCTGCCTCCTGGGTTCAAGTGATGCTTGTGAATGGCTGATTTCACAAGCCTGAATGGCTGGATTACAGGCATGCACCAGCATGCCCAGCTAATTTTTTGTATTTTTAGGAGAAATGGGGTTTCACTGTGTTTCCCAGGCTGGTCTCTAGTTCCTGAGTTCAGGCAATCTGCCCTCAACCTCCCAAAGCACTTGGATTACAGGCTTGAGCCACCATACCTGGACTTCCTTTTCAAATTGTGCTTTTTAGGGTCCAGTAAGAATATTAGAGGCCTCTAGTAGGGTCCTGTGTCACATAGAGGCACTAAATCCTTAGCCAAGGGATTCTCTTGAGTCTCAGTCTGGGAAAGTAAAGGGGCAGGTTGCTTCCTATGGGGGCTCAGGTGTAGACACTCTGGATTTTATCCACATCTTTTCCTTCTCTCTCTTTTTTACCCCTCCCAAAACAATAGCAATTGCTGACAGCAGGGAACTCCAAAGGGCAAATTAAAACCTTTCTTTATGTTTGGGAAGTATTGATAGAATAGTCATTCTAGAAAAGGAGAAATGTTCAGTAAGATATAGGGAAAATTTAAAAAGCCAGGGGGTTTCTGCACTTGCTGAAGCTGGCTATGGGATGCTTCCCTTCTGTATGGGATGCTGCTTCCCTTCTGTATGGGATGCTGCTTCCCTTCTGTATGGGATGCTGCTTCCCTTCTGTATGGGATGCTGCTTCCCTTCTGTATGGGATGCTGCTTCCCTTCTGTGGGGAAGGGGACTTTAAAGTGATTGGGGGAGGGGCGTTAAACCAAAAAGCTTGTCTTGTAGCAAAAGGGTTCTTTCAGAGAAGCCAAGAAAGAAAAGGCTGGGACGAAGAGAAAGAAAGCTAGTTGGAAGAACTTGTAAGCAAGATTTATTCTGAATGAATGTTTGAATGAATGCATGCATGAAATGCCTTCAGCTAAGGATTGGAAATACTGAAATGCATGGGTCTTAGATTGGAAGGTCAATGCTTAAAAAACTAAGTAGAGCAGGAGAATGAGGCTGCACCACCAGGGGGCAGCAGTGTCTCATCATGGAAATCAACCCTAGCGGGAAATCGCCCAGTAACTGCAAACTCCAAAAGATCAAATGACAATGTTAGTTTTAGGCATATCCCTGGAGAATGTATCTTCCACCAAATTTACATACACAGAATGAGGGAAGTATAGAAGAGGTGTCTTCTGCAATATAAGGCATGTGCAATTTGCATAATTAGTCACGAACAGGTAAAAATTTGCCTCAGTGACTTAACTTGAAGACTATTTCTGGTGGCATTTAGAGTTTTAGGAGCATGGGTCTGATTAGTTTTTCTCTCATGTTTCTGTGGGATTCGGATACCAAGTCAGGGGTGAGGCAGATCCTCAGGGACCTAGGGAAGGGCAGGACGTGGCATTTGCTTGCTTAGCCCGGAGCCTGGGGCCACTATGTCTTGAAGAGGCTGACTGGCGCAGTGTGGGTGGTGTTGCAGGGGACAGGAACAGCCTTAGTGTGGTGGGCCGGGGACTCTTCCATGCTGGGGGCTGTGCCCTCCTACCTTAGAGAAGCCAGTGGTCAAATAGGGAATTTGGCATGAAGGTTAAGAGCAAAGGTCTTGGAGGCTACCCTCCTGGGTTCAAATTCCTGCTCTGCTTTGGTTTGAGAGTACTTGCTGAGTTACTTATCTTATTTATGCCTCAGTTTCCATATCAGTGAAGTGGGAAAAATAATAGTACCTCCCTCAGGATTGCTATGAGGATTAAATGATTGTGTATAGGTAATATGGTTTGACATTCCCTTCACCTTATCTGCATTGTAATAGCCTATTTGCCTGTTTCCCTGTCTGTAAAATGGTCACGACAGTATCTCTCTCATAAGTTATATTAAGTTAGAATGGCCAGGCACAATGGTGTGTGCCTGTAATGCCAGCACTTTGGGACGCTGAAGTAAGAGGATCACTTGAGGCCAGGAATGAATACTATAAAGTGTTAATTCTTACTCTTCTTCTTATTATGAGTTGAGGTGGACTCTTGCTCTGTTGCCCAAGCTGAAGTGCAGTGGCACAACCTTAGCTCACTGCAACCTCCACCTCCTGGCATCAGGTGATTCTCATGCCCCAGCCTCCCAAGTAGCTGGAATTACAGGCATGCAGCACCACGCCCAGCTAATTTTTGTATTTTTAATGGAGACAGGGTTTCACCATATTGGCCAGGCTGGTCTTGAACTCCTGACCTTAGGTGTTCCACCTGCGTCGATCTCCCAAAGTGCTGGGATTACAGGTGTGAACCACCACGCCTGGCCTCTTACTTTCATTATTGTGATTATTGGACAGAAAGCATGTGTAATTCTAGGGTAGTTTAGGTGAGAAGTGAGACCCCAGGTATCCAGTCTGGTAGGCAGGCTCAGCAGCAGGGGACTCTGGGCCATGGCCATGCTTGGGCTCAGAAGCGGCCAGTGTGCTGGTTCCATCTATTCGAAGAGAGACCCAGGCAGCTGCTGCAGGAACAGGGATGCGACCAGTGCCAGAGTTGCCGGGATTGGCAAGAGCTGCATAAGGCAGTCGATGTCCCAGAAGCTTACTTTAGCATTTGGCTAGGGCTTTGGTTCTAGAGAGCACCTGGAATCATGCTAATTGTAATTAAAAAAAAAAAAAATGCTAACTGGTCATTTAGTCCGAGCCAGGCTTTACACATTCTAACTTAAAATTTTTGAGATGGTCTCACTCTGACACCCAGGCTGGAGTACAATGGCACAATCTTGGCTCACTGTAGCCCTGGCCTCCCAAGCTCAAGTGATCCTCCCACCTCAGCCTCCTAAGTAGCTGGGACTATAGGTGTGTACCGCCACACCTAGCTAATTTTCTTAAAAAACTTTTGTAGCGATCAGGTCTCGCTATGTTGCTCAGTCTAGTCTCAAACTCCTGGCCTCAAGGGATCCCCTTGCTTCAGCCTCCCAAAGTGCTGGCATCACAGGCACACACTATTGTGCCTGGCCATTCTAACTTGTTTAATCCTTACAACCTATGAGAAAGATACAGCCACGACCACTTTACAGACAGGAAAACAGAGGCAAAGAGAGGCCATTGCAACACAGCTAGGGCAAAGGGAATCAAGACATGAGCTTGTTGTGCTGGCTTGGTGGGCAGGAGGAGTTAGAGGGGAATGGAGTGTGGCCTGGTGGACGTGCAGGTCTGGAGGCTCAAGCTGGGTGGACGCAAGTCCCCGTCTTGGGGCAGCAACACCTGCAGGCCCCACTTG